ATTTGCAGTGCGCCGTGCAGCCGCAGCCCTTTGTGCACAGTTGGTGGTGGTGGCGGTGGCGTTGGCGGTGGTGGTGGTGGCGGTGGTGGCGGTGGTGGTGGGTGGTGGTGGGCGGTGGTGGGTGGTGGTGGGTGGTGTTGGGCTGTGGTGGTGGATGGATTGGGGGGGGGAATGGTATGGTGTTGCGTGTGTGCGTGTGCGTGAGGGGGTGTTCGTGTGCGTGCGTGGTGTTGTTGTGGTGGTGGGTGGTGGTAGAGCTGTGTGTATGTGGATAATGTGCGTGCGTGCGTGCGTGCGTGCGTGCGTGCGTGCGTGCGTGTGTGTTTATGCGTGTGTGTGTGTGTGTGCGTGTGTATGTGTGCGTGCGTGCGTGCGTGCGTCCGTGTGTGTGCGCGCGTGCGCGCGCGTGCGCGTGCGTGTGTCTGGGGGGGGTGGGGGGGGGGGGGGGGGGGGTGGGGGGGGGGGGGGGTAGGGGGTGGGGGGGGGGGGGGGGGGGGGGGGGGGGGCGCGCGCAGCGGGGGTGCGGGGTGCGCCTGGTGGCGCATGTACTTTGTTTTCTTGTTGCGACTTGAATCACCGTGCTAGCGGCGCAACAGACCACATGTAAACAAGTTCGGCCCTTCTAGTGCACCCAAAGCAACTTCGCACGCATGAATGCGCAATGCTTCGATGCGCAGCGCGAGCATGGCATATCTGACAAGAGCGTGGTTTCAGAGGGGGGAATATTGCCGTTTTGCTGGACCTTCCGAAACAGGCGCTCGCGGCGTCAACTCCTTGTTTGCACGCCCACAGCTGAAATCGTGGCATCGCGCGTTTGTTTCTGGTATAGGTTGCAAGGATATTGGTCACATCCTACGTTTATCGACAAACATACCGACACATTCTAACGCTGCGTGAAATAAAAGACGCCGCCCTTGTTTCCAAGTCGAGTTGGGAAGTCGGGGTTGCTGACGAAGCGAGAATCGGTCGCAACCTCGACGGCCCTACCTGCTAGGCTGACAGCATGCGCCGCTGCCGTGAGCTCGGCGCGCTGCGCGGTCTGCTCAACATCGACAAGCCCGCGGCGCCTCTGGCGGCCGGCGCCCTGCTTCAGCACCGCCACTCCAGCCTGCCCTGGCGAAGATGGGGTCAATGGGATGCGCGCGGCCGCCGTCCGCCCAAACGCGCGGGCGAGGTGGCTCGGCGGCGGGGGTCGGCCGGCCTGGGCGCGGCATAGGCCGGCGCGCCTTCTCCGCCGGCGCAAGCAGCTGCGGGCGGTGGGGAAGCGCCCCCACGAACGACGTCCGGGCCGGCAGTCGCGCGCGGGCCGCGGCGCGCGCGGGTTCCCAGCAGGGGCATGCCCAGAAGTGGTTCTCCAAGTCTTCGCACGCGCGCCGCGACGCGGGCGTGCCGCGCGGCGCCCCCATTTCGCCGCCATCGCCTCCGCGACGACGTTGCGGGCGGACGCGGCGCGGAAGGCCCCCGCGGCGTCGGCCGGCAGCTCCTCGCTGTCGAGTGGCCGCCCGGCGGCCGCCCGTCGACTCCAGCGTCTAGGCGCCGAAATCTGGAGCGCCGACCAGCCGCTTCGCGGGCGTCGCGGGCCGCCCGGGAAACGGGGGGGGCACCCCGCGCGCGTCGGGCAAGGCGCGATCAGCCAGGCGAGGGCGCTCGACGTCGGAGCGCAACTTCGCCATGCCCCAAGTCGCCGCGCCCGCTGGGCCAAGGCCGCGGCCGCGCCCCGCCCGGCGGCCATGGCGCCAGCGGCTGGCCTCCAAACCTCGGCTGGGGAAAATTGTTCCTCTATGGTTTTGGCGACTTGCCGCAGCGGCGCGATGGCCGTCGCCGCCGCCGGGCCCAGCCGCCAGGTCGGCCGCGGCGCCGAACGCGATTCCCGCGGCCGCCCCGGCCGACGGCGCGCTGCGCGGCGGCGCGAAGCCCGGCCAACTCGCGCGCTGGGGGGGCGCACGCAGGCCGCGCCATAAAAGCCCGCGGCAGTGCCCGGGGCGGCTTCCAGCACGCCGCGCCGGCGAAAACCTGGCGGGCAACTAACTACCTACCAGACCACCCCAACCCAACCCGAAGACGAGAATTTCGGTTTGGGGGGGGCCCGGGTTCCATCTGTGTTTTCTCATTGTTTCCCGACCCCGCCCTACTGGAAATGGAAGGCAAATCGGGGCCTTCGGGTTGGGTTGGGGTGGGTTGGTGGGTGGTGAGCAGCTGGCCGAGTCTGGCAAATCGGCTCTGCGCGACGACCAAGCGGCCGGCGGAGACGGCGCAGCGGCGCACCACGCTCGCAGTGGGTATGGACCCGAAGTCCGTGACATCCACGCACGCGTAAATGCCTGGGGGCCGCTACTTCAACCGCTGTCGCAACGCCCGGCGGCTTGCGCATTGGCGGCTCTTCGACCGATTGACGCTCCACCCCATTTCTGTTTCGGAAAAAACATCTGTCACCCGCGGCGCTCGAACTCCGCCGCCGCCTCGTCGGCGCGGTCGCCGGCCGCGCGGGCCGCCGAGGTGACGTCGTCGGCGCGCGCCCGCTGGCGGATGAAATCGCCCGACCATGCGGCGACTGGACAACCTGGCGGCGGGCCGCGCGAAATCGCCCAAGGACCCCCGATGGCGCTGTCGACGCGCACCCGGCGGCACGCTCCGCAAGCGCGCAGGGCTGGGCGGCGCGAGCAAGCCGCGGCGGACCCCCCGCACGCGCCAGCGGAACCGGGAGCGCGCCCAGGTCCACCTAGCCGCCCGTTTTTCTCCAGTCGATGGCTGCGCCGACGACCTCCCCGGACAAGGCGTCGGCGGCCTCGAGCTCCAAAGCCAGTTCCCGCGCCTGCCCCCGCCGCGCCGCCGGGAACCCTCTTCCCGAGCGCAGCGCCACTGCGCGAAGAGACGGGCGCCCTGCCGCCAAAAGCCAACGCAAAATTGGAAGGGGCCACATCGGCCGTCGCTACAGCGGGCCCCGGCCACCACCAGGCATCGGGATCAGCAAGCCCCCCGCTTCGGCGAGCTCGCGCGGCCACTCGCCGCGGGCCTCAACCTCTTCGAACAAGTCGGCGATCCATTCGCGCAGCCCGACAGGAAGTAGCTGGAGCTCGCTGACGGCCCCGGCGTCGAGCCCTGGCACGACTTGCTTGGCTCCGCACTACACTGCACTGATCAATGCAACTCGCGGGCGTCGTTGCTGGGTGTGCTGGCGGGGATATGCGAAGCGCCAAGTGTAAACGCACCCATTCAATGTGATATAACCGTTGTGTAAAACCAACACTTGCAAGGTATTCCCACAACGCTGCTGCGCCGTATCCGACTAGATTTTGAATCAACACGTATGGAATCAGTTGTTCATCCGCTAGAGGTGACAAGCATGCGCGCTCACGGTGGGCGCATTCTGTTTCTGATTACGACCAACAAGCACATGTCGAAATAACGTTGGGCCGTTGAGCCGTAGCGTCATGATCAACGCGAGGAGTGCCTCTGATGTTCAATATGTTGAGCTTCGTGCGCGTGAATATCCACCGCCGTGCCTTGCGCGCACTGAAGCCTGTCAGTTTCCTCATCTGCTGCCTGGTGGTTGGAATTCTTCAATGTGTTCGCAGGGGCGACCCCATCCCAGGCCTACCCGCATCCTCCGCCCCCCCTCTTCGGAGCCGAATTGGGGAATCCCCCAATCCAAACTGAGGGAAACATACTGCGGGGCGAAACCAAGCCCCCCCCCCTTTGGGGGGGTCAAGACATGCCCCACGATTCCGTCCGGGGCAGAAACAGACGACAACACCCAAAAACAACCGTATAAAAAAAAAACGCAACAAGAAACAGCACAAGGCACCAACAAACACCGCCCCAAAACAACCAAGCTCGCCCTAGAACGGCTCGGCCGCGTCCATGGCGGCCCCAAACTGCGCAAGAACACCTCCCGACGCTCCAAGGGGGCCAAGAGGTGGCTTCAATACGGCCCGAAAACTGTCCAAGACGGCCCATTAGGGTTCCACAACCAAGACCACGAGAGGCCCAAGAGACTCCCAAGAGGCCTCCCAGAGGTCCCCCTACAGACCACCAAAGGCCGCCCAAACGGACCCCAAAGGCTCCCCAGACACCCTCAAGAGGCCCCAGCGCAGGTTCAACATGCAAATTACTCAACCTCATTCACGCTGCGCTGCTGCCCTGGCGGGGTGGCGGGGTTCCCCGCAGGCAGCTGGATGTGTGCATGTCCCTTCGGATATACAGATTGGCAACATGGACCTTCTAGAGGCACCCTCCAGCCGCGCCTCCAGTCTCTCCAAAGCCCCCTAGAGTCCGTTTAGAGCCCCTCTGTAGAAGCTCCTCTGGAGTCCCTCTGAAGCCTTCTAATGTCCTTTAGAGCCTTGTAGAGAAACGGAATTGGCTATGTGTCTCTCCGGCGCCACTGCGAGCCCTGGCGCTCCTGGCGTAGTCGCTCCTGGCGCCCCAGCACCGCTTGCACCCCCTGCTCGAAGCCATCCCATCACTCATCACCGAATCCCCACACATCCGATGTCACGATTTGTAATAATTGGTACCTGGAGGACCCCACAACATCCCTAAGGCCGGTTTTTCGTCCTGAATCGGTGTTTGACGGTCCCCGGGACCGATGAAGCCCTCTGGAAACTGAAAACGCGGAAAAACTGACGCATTGAAAAAATCACGACATCAGAATTCTAGGTCATCACTCATCACCGCCAATCCTGCCATCGTCCGCGGCGCCCTCCGCTGTCCCCCTCGCGCATATCGTTCTCCTGAACTCCCCAATCCCGCCTGCTGTGCCGAGCTGCTTCTGGAGGGCCCAGGCATCATTCACCACCATCCCTTTCCCTCCTTCCCTCTTCCTCTTCTCCCCCTCCTTCAACCTTCCCCGCCCGCCGCCGATTCCTTCTGCGCCAAGTCAAAGTAACGGATCAAGGATTCAACGGCGCAGCGTAGCAAGCCAGTGAAACCTTGTACATACATAGACACACATGTACTGTTTGCATTAAGCGGAGGGCTGCGGATGTGCACGTCACGTTCTCCTTGAGGTCTTCTGGGGCCCACTCCTCGAACGGTGGCAGCGACACCTGCGCGTCTCTGGCGCTCTTGCTCTGGCCGCCCGGCCAACTGGCCTCCTGGTCCCTGCCGCATTTCCGCAAGCCTGGTGGCATGAGGGAAGCGGGTCCTGAACCATGGGGACTTGCCCAAGGGACATCCTTGCTTCCTGAGCCATCCATTGACGGTTCTGGGAAACCGGAAAGGGCCCCAACGCCAAAAGCAAGGAAAAACCTGAAAGACCCAAATCCTCCGAAACTCGTTTCCCCATCCCGCTTTCACACCCCATCCGTTTGCCCCATCCCGTGATCTCCATGCCAGAACTGGACCCCCTGCCCCCCACCTGTCCTCCAAAGGCCATTTCTGCCCGAGGCGGGCATCAAACGACAGCGGGGGAGAAGCGGGCGCCCCTGCAACTTCCTAGGCGGCAGGGGGAGAGCACCCACCCCTTGAAACAGCTTCCGGATCACTGCGATCGCCCAGCGGAAAGCGAACCAGCTGTTTTCTTGTTACATATCCCCTGGAGCTGTGCTGGACTGGAAGCCCGACAGTCCTAGACTCGCTTGGCGAATCCCATCACTAATGGACGGCCGTGTAGCTCGTAGGGCGCAACACATACATTTCGCTAGACTACCTGGGGCAAAACCCAGAGAGCCCCAAAGAGAGCCCCAAGACGCCCAAGATGGCCCCAAGACGGCTCCAGAAGCTTTCAAAACGCCCCAGGAGGCCCCCAAGAGGCTCCCCGATAGTTCCTCAGGCGATAAAAAAAATCCCTTCGGAACAAGCGCATGGCTAGCATATTCGGAAGTTGGGCTGTCACAGCGTCCAAGACGGCCCCCGAGGCAATCAAGATTGTCCCGAGACTGCCCAGCGGGCCCCGAAATTCGCTCCAAGACAGCCCAAGAAAACTCCGAGACCGCCCAAGATGTCCCCAAGACGGCCCAAGAGGGTCCCAGGACGGGCCCAAGAGGGGGCCTGGATGGGGAAATCAAATCCCACCAGCCCTCTGGGCGTAAGTGGTCGAGAGCGTTTCCTCTTCCACCCCCTTTCTTCCACTCCGGGGAAGGGTTTACCCCTCCCCCTACCCCCTACCCTGGACATGGACGAAGGGTTTCGCGAGGTGTCGGAGCGTCTAAGATGCCCCAAGACGGCTCCAAGGTGCCCTGGGAGAGCCCAAGATGAGCTCCAAGGTGGCTCAAGATATCGCGAGCTGCCTCAAAATTGCTCCCAAGATGCTTCAAGAGGCCCAAAGACCGCTCCAAGACGGCTCCAAGTGCCATAATAGCTCCCCAAGGATGCCACCAAGGTGTCAAAATCCTTCAACAACCGATGAAACGTCAACGGTTTTGGCTTTCTTGCAGTTTCACTTCCGATGGCCATCCGAGGCTTCAACATGGCTCCAAGATGGCCCGAAAAGGCCCCAAGAGGGGCCCAAGAGAGCCCCAAGACGGCCCCAAGAGCACCTAAGAGCGTTCCAAGAGCGCACCGAGAAGCGAATTTAGAGGGCTTGCGAGGGGCAGGGTTAATTGAGGGCCCCCTCTTCTTTGATCCTCCAAAATGGCCCCCAAAGGCGCCCAGGAGGCCCCAAGAGGTCCCAAAATTCCCCGAAGATGGCCCCAAGAGGCCCCCAAACGCCCCAAAGAGGACCCCAAGCGGCCCAAGAGGCCCCCCCGAGGCACCCACGACGCCCAAGAGCCAGTCGGTCGCGTCGGCGCGTAGTCCTTCGGGGAGCAGCTCCAAGTCCAGAAGAGGCCAGAGATCGGATTGGCTGGCCCATTGTCCGAGGCAGGGGTTGCACCGCGCGCTGCCAGGTTCTTTGCGCCCGGCCGTGAGCCAGACTCTGCGGGCCGGCCTTCCGCAACCGCACTGGTGCGGGAGGCGACCGGCCATTCCCCGTCTCCTCGCCGAGCCGGGTGGCCCGTTGGCGACAAATCGCAAAACATGGCGCGCCTCCGCGAAGGAGGCGCAACGCTGGATCAGGGACCATTCCGCCCCACCGGTCTGCGCCGAGCGCCAGGCCCCTGTCGTCGGACGAACCTCGTGGCCCACTTGCAGAATTTGTTCCACCTGGTCATGGCCCGTTTCTTTGCAGGGATGGGGCCCCCGCGCGCCCCCCAGAGCGCGGGCCCTAGCCGCAATCGCCCTGGCGGTGACGACGGGGCACTGGGGGCACCTGGGGACCTGGAAACAAATGCCGAGACCCGTGGGCGCGTTGCCAGGGGCCCAGGAGGCACCCGCGAGACCCAAAACCACTCGCAATTGGGCCCGAAGGGCGCGCTCCTGTAGCACGTCGGGTGCCATGTAGCGCGTGGGGTAGGGAACGAGCGAGACGAGATCGGAATTCCAAGTCAGGGCGGCGCGCGAGGACGACGCCCCCGCCATATGTAGGGCTCTGGCTCGGTCGCGAATCCTGGGGGGCGGCTTGCCCCAAGTGCCGGCGACGAGCGCTTCGACCTGTCCGCGGGCGAGCTGCCCTCTGGTCGGGAGCGCCTCGCCCTCGGCGGCCCTGGGGACCACGTTGGCGCCGAGGCGTGGCCACTGCGAAGTCGCGGCAGAGGATCCAAAGGGAGCGAGGTCCACGAGCGACCTCCACCACTCATGGTTGCTCACAGGCACAAGGGCGGTCTTGCAGTTGCAGGGGCAAGCCGCGTGCCAGGGGCGGCGCGCTTCTGCAGCGGCGGGGCCGAGAGCGTCGTGGATTAAGGCCTGGGCGAGAGCGGGGGGCATGCCCGTGATGCACGCGTCGCCCCCCCGTCTTTCCAAGGCGACGGGCAATTCCGCCAGGGCTGTCGCTGCGGGGCGGTCATGAGCCGTAAGGACTCCTCTGCACCTATGGGTGTCTACCTGGAGGCCGGCTCATTTGGCTAGCCAAGAGAGGGCGATGGCCGCGCGTAGTGCCTGGCCCGTTGAGGCGAGGAGGGCGGCGAGGTCGCCCACGTTAGTGGGGCTGGCGTCTCCTGTGATGTCAGCCACGGCTTCTGCGAGTGGGTCGCGGCCGATGCACCAGAGGAGCGGTGAGGCGGTGCTGCCCATGCCGATGGAGCGAAGCAGTCTTCTTATTATGCTCATATGTTTGCCCTTGCAGGTCTGGGTGCAGCGCTCGCTCGGCAAGGGGCCCAGGGCGCTTGGGAGCCAGGGAGGTAGCTGCCACTTGCGCAGTAGGAGGCCTACCCACTGGAGTGAGTTTCTTTCGAAGGCCTTGTTCTGGTCACAGAATGTGACGGCGGTGCTGGGGGCCGCGCCCAGGCGCGCCTCGGCTCCCTGGATGTAGCGTCGTACCGCGTCGTGGTGGATTCCGAGAAGCTCCCGCCAGCCGCTGCTGGGGCCGGGATATTGGGAGGTATCGCGGCCAAGGTGCGCAATTACTGCGGCGATGTTGGGACCGCATTGTCCCCCTTTCCAGGCGGCTTGGTGCTGGCTCAGACGTGATTCTACTGTGGGGCCAAGGTAGTCGGCGATGGTGGCCCCATGCAGCCTGCGCATGCATGTCGGGTGTTGCAGAGGACGCATGTCGTTGGGCCTCTCGGCCGCAGCATTCTTTCCTATCCATTCCAGGAGGTCGACCGACCTGCCGGTGACCGCGTCGACGAGGCCCGGGTCGATGTCTGCCGCGCAGCAGGCTTGGCCGAGGAGGCAGGCGACGAAGCGGGCGCCAGGGTGGTATATCTCATAAGGTTCCCCGTCCACGCCGGGCGCGCTGCCGCTTGGTTCCAGGACCAGGGAAACGAATTTTCCCCACTGAGGGCGGGGGCGGCCTGGGAAGCTCCCCAGGCCCTCCCCTTGGAAGTAGCGATCCAGGATGCGTGCCCCGGAAATGGGCAAGGGGGGGCGGTCTGCCAGATGGGGGACCGGCTCCCCCAGAGGACCTTGTCAACGTCGTCTGGCCTCTCGTGCCACGCTCCTTGTTCGTCACGCGCGCCGAGAACGGCGTGCGTCTTAACGTATATCTCGCGCCATGTTCTGAAGTGTGCTGCCAGGGTGGGGCGGTCCGCGCCGGGGCCTCTCTGTGCCGGCGTCAGCCTGGAAGCGCGCCTTTGAGCCGAGTCGCTGTCCCACTTAGGCAGCCACCCTGCGGCTTGTAGTGGTGCGAGGTCGTCCCCGTTCCATCCGTACTCGGTGAGCCAGGCAGCCAGGGTGCCCGCGGGTCTGGCGTTGTGGTCAGCGCGCGTCGCTGCAACCAGGAGAGCACCCGGCGATCGCGTGGACTTGCCTCAATTTGCGCCACCAGTCCTCGATGGCAGCGGATAGGGCGTGTCGCCCCAAGACCAGCAGGGCAAGCATGAGGGGAATTGCCAGGTCGTCTGCGTCGGCTGCCTGAGGCTGTGGTGGGTCGTGGCTGACCTCACCATCCCCATCATCAGTGTTGTGGCGTCGGTCAAGGAAGGTGCCGGGGGCCGCCGGTCTCACCCAATTTCTAGGCTGGAGCAGGCCTGTGAGGTCGGCGTCCAGGATGTCGAACATACGCTCGAGGTAAGTAAACATGTGCCTGAGGTCAGTACTGGCTTCCGAGGGGAGTGAGCGTATGTCGTGGGGCCGGATGATATTGTCGCGTCTGCGTGGGCTGGCGCCCTCTGGCTCTAGGTAGAGGATAGCGTGGTCAGAGAGCCATGTCTCCCAGGCCTTGCGGGCGCTGCAGAGCCCCAGCCGCCAGGCGGGGCAGGCCAGGACGTCGATCTGGGACTCGCTGTCACCATCAACCCTGGCGGGGCCGTCGGTGCGAGCAATGAGAGAACCCGTCCTGCTGAACAGATCGGCGAAGGCCGCCGCGTCCTCCGACTCGCCGCCCCTGGGGCAGTCGATCTGGAGGTTGGCGCCCCCACCCCAATATGTTGGAGTGTCCTCCCAGGTCTCGATGGCTTGCTGGATGGCCGCGATGGTCTCCGTCTTCCTGGAAGGAGGGAAGTAAAATGAGGCAACTCGGAAGGTTTGTCCGTTGCGTTCTAGGTCGGCGGACGCAGCGCAGCCCGGGACCAGGTCGTCGGAGCTAACCAGGGCGACGCCGCGCGTGGCCAGGATGGCCACGCCGCCCGCT